TACAGTGAATGACGTTTATGCTTCAATTTAATTCGAAATCAACTAAGTTAAGATAATCTTTGGAAATTCTATAATAATTTCTAAATCAAATTGGTATTCATTGATTTACATGATAATGAAAAAATTTATTTCTGTCTATATCTATCTTGGATCTTAGAATTGTATTACCCTTTTCTTTATTTTTTGTTACTATCTATCTTGATGGTTTAAATGTTAAGTATTTAAGTATCAGATTGAAATTTCTATGTTCAATCCTCTAGAAATTATTGAGTACACATTGATGAATAGTAACATTACAAAATATTGAATAATTGTCTTGTGTAAGCTCATTTTTTAATGATTGTTTAAATGAAATAAATATTTGTTGTTTTTCTATGAACATTCTATTTATTCAATAATATCTAATGAAGTTTAATAAAATATTAAAATGAAGAATAATTTTTTCCCAGAAATTTATACTTTTTGATGAAATTTTTGTCTTTTCATAACATTAATTAACTTACTTACTTACGCCTGCTACTCCCAATGGAGCATAGGCCACTGACCAGCATTTTCCAACCCACTCTGTAATGAGCTTTCCTTTCTAATTCTATCCAATTTTCGTTCATTCTTCTCATATCTGTCTCCATTTTTCGGCGTAATGTGTTATTCGATCTTCCGACTCTCCTTTGTTTAGCATTGAGGATTCCATATGAGGGATTGCCTTGTGACGCAGTTTAGTGCTTTCCTCAATGTGTGTCCTATCCACATCCAGCACTTCTTTCTGATTTTTACTTCTGCTGTAATCTGGTTTATTCTCTCTCACAATAGGTTGTTGCTGATAGTGTCTGGTCAACGTATCGAAGTATTTTGCATAGACAACTGTTAATAAACACTTGTATCTTCTGAATGATGACTTTCATAGTTCACAACATAAAAAGGATTAATCAAAAGATAAATATCTTATAATCAATAAATTTACTTTAACCATCACAGTTTTTTAAGTCATATCAGATTATTATTTTTAGAGTTAATAATAATTAATAGGTTTAGGTAAATGAAAAGAATTTAGATAGTGACTAAAGAGTTTGTTGCTGAGTAAGTGTAAACAGACTTTATCTACCTCAGTACAATGGACGATGGTCGCATAATTTTGTGGATTGGTTGGTGTTAGACACTAACGCCATTGGATTACTGCTCAGTGGTTCAGTAGGTTAAGCGTTCGCGCGCAAGAGTGAAGTGCCTTGGTTCGAATCCCGAAAGCGGGATCGTTGATGCGCACTGCTGAGGAGTCTTGTACTAGGACAAACGAGCGTCCAGTGTTTCCAGGGTTCCGACGGTGATCTAACATCAATCGCTTCATGATCTCAGTCAAAAACTTAATAATCTCCACATTCAGTATACTGATTAATTTTTTTGCTTGTTAAATGACAATTTATACAATATTTTGAATGAGAAAAAAAAGTTTTCTAGTTTAGTTTAACTATCATAAGTTTATATTAAAGACTGATGACAATAACACTGTTAAGTTACTAACAGGAATTACAAAGCAAAATTGTCGCTTTTATTTGTTTGTTGTTCTTTTAAATGTAAAGTATTGACAAACAAAAAGAATTAATAAATAAATCTTGTTTCAATAACTCAATCATAGAAAGCATTGAATACTTATATAGTAGTTCACATGCGATTGTATTTGTTCACATTTAATTTGCATAAGCCTTTTTGTTAACTGATTTAACGGATAGAGTCAATCGTACAATAACAACTTATTATTGTTGCACTTGTTTGAATATGTATGCTTGAGGATTGCTTACCGTCTATGTACATATTCATTTTGTTAGCTTTAATGTTAGTCGTTTAATTGATTCGATGATTCGCACATTTCCCTATGTATGTATATGTAGATTTTGACTCGCGGACTGGCACGTTAGCACGCTTGCTTTGCGGCATTCTTGTTTCGTATGTCTTTGATTTTGATGATCTATGCGTTGTGCAATAATAAACGTGATCAATACTTCGTACTCGTCTTCTGATTTGTACATTGTTGAGGACGTTATCTAATAACGGTTATGTGGACTAACTGTTACGAAGATTAAGGATTATATCGAATACCGATCACTACACCTACATTTTTTCGGTTAGCATTTTTTTTAGAGAGTTAGTTTTCTACGGGATGGGGACGCTAACCCCATGCCCAACCCTCCTCTTTTATCCGGGCTTGGGACCGGCAGTAGCCCCCGGAGGGACTTCAGGCGGAGTTACTACACTTACATACCTTATTACATTGGTATTGACGAGTACTCTGTGTTTAAAAAGCGCTGCAATTTCAATTAGGCAGGTATACTACAAAAATTATACATTTGATTTATTCAGTAAAACGATGTACTTCGGGCTTATTGTAGTGTTTTATTGTGTTTATTCACTTATAGACTGATTTTGTTCTTAATTACTGAGAATAATCAACTCATTAATTTATATATTATATAATCATATAAATAAATTATATAGTTGTATTATATTTTGATGGAATATATTTGAACATAAAAATACAATGAATTATTATTTAAGAATTGAAGTCATGGTTCAATTTAAGCTAGACCACAATGGAAAACCCGGAGCATTGGATAGCTGTTACGTCCTAGTATGAAACTCTTCGGCAGTTCACATCCATGATCACCCCCTAAGAGATTCGAACCAAAGACTTATCAGTCGCTTGCGAGAACGCCTAACATTTGGATCACTGAGCCGGTCGGCATCCAACGATGTCAATGTCTAACTTCAACCAACCCATGAAGTTGCGCCACTGTCCACCATTGTCTTGAGAGAGTTACTGATAGGTCCTTGGTTCGAATCCCGTGGGGCGGGGTCATGAATGGACACTCCTCAGGAGTCTCATACTAGGATGAGGCGGTCGTCCAATGCTCTCAGATTTTTCATGGTGGTCTAGCTTCAAATCAATAATGAATTCACTTATTAAATTACTACAATCTCCACAAAATCCAATCCGATTTATTGTTTATTTAATTGATTTACCTGTGGTGAAATAGTCACAGCTAATGATGGTTTTTGTATCCATAACTTTATTATTATCATGGACAACTGTCAAAACTAAGTTTGTTATTTATCTTAAATAGAACAGAATAATTAGATGTTATCTGATTGATGTCATTAATTTGATACTGTGATTCAAATTTTTTTTAAATTATTCATCAATCAAACTTAATATTACTATTGTTTCAGTAGTAGTGATAATCTAATCTAACAGAATAATTACAGTGATAGAAGGTATTTATCAACTTTTAATGATAGATTTTTCAAATTATGTGATAAAATATGTTACAGTCAGTGTGGTGACGGCTCACGGGTGAACTAGAGAAAGATCTAAGAAACTCAAAAACAGTAGAAGATATTCCATCCAATCATCTTTCGGGAGAATATTCCAAAATTCCTACGTGTAACTTCTCTATTGGACAAATGTTGATAACTCCCTGTATGCGGATTGGATGACTGTAATAATGATTTCGTTTTTACTAAAAACTATAAATACCTGACAGTTTTTTTTACCATAATTGATACTGTTTGTAATGGCATTCCTTTCACTTGTTTTATTTCTTCTCATTTGCGACTTGGTGGGTCCTAGCGTTCGAGCGCTGAAGTTATGCGCGTTATATTAGGAATCTAAGCTCTAGATATAACAGTCAGTTCCCTTAGAAACCAAGAAAATTATCACAGAAATGATAGTCAAACAAAATCCAAGATCATAGGGTCCGAATCTGTTTATCAACGTAAACATTAGTGTCTAATAAAATCTAGCTGATGAGTCCCATAAGGAATCTTAAATCCAACTTTTTAGCTACTATCAAAATCTGTCTAAATAACACGTATAACCTGAAAGCAATGTCTAAACAATCTACCCCTAAAAGAGACGGGTCTATTACATTCTTGAGCATCAACGACGCCCAGAATCAAACTCAAACAAATGTAATCAATTTTAGAGAAGTTTCAAAATATCCATTAGATTATGTGTAACAATAAAAGACTATAAGTTTTTAGTTTACATCAAAGAGTTTTATGGTAGATGATCATTCATGCCTATTGAAAGCTTTCTCGGTAAAACGTAACTTCAAAGTTAGTAAAAATATAAAAATTCGTTTCATAAATCTATACCTAGTCATTATTTATATCAAAGTGACAGGTGAATGACGTAAACTTTCTTACGAATATTATGTTCAAGATAATAACAAAAGCTAAATGGTTACTAGATAGATTTAATGGTGTAACAATAATAAATAAAACTCTGAAAGTTGGTAAGACATTAAATATTATTACATTAGCATAATCTATTACGTTATATGAATGATTAATGGCTATATTTCGAGTTTATAACTTGTTTACGAACTCCCTTGAATTTAATAATAGTTCATACTATGTGTTTTTATAATTTGGAAAGATATATCAAGGAAATTACTACAAAAAAGATAGTCAGATGAAATTCAAATTCATGGGGTTCGAGCCTAGATGTAAACATGAACATTATGGTCTAAGTAAATTAAACTGAATCTAATATTATATGCAAAGATGGATATTAGCTATCAGTGGAATTCTGGAAACGTGCATCCTGTATTCCATTCCTAGCCACCATCCAGCTCTGTGTTAAAATACCTGTAATTTAAGGCACTATTAAAGCAATCCACACGGGATGCACATATTACAATAAGAGATTGATCGATTACAGTCCTAGAAATCAATGGAAACATTCAAACAACCGATACAAAAACGACTTCTAACTACACTTTTGTATCAATATAAACATAGATCAGCCCGAAATTACGTAAGTCAATGACTTTTACAAAACATTAATAAGCTTTAATACTGAGTTTCATGATGATTTTAACCTCTAAAAAAAATCAGCCAAAAATTATCATTGAATTTCATGCAGTTTTCTAATATTTTAAATGAAATTGAATGTTACCTATTAAATTCCTAAATATTTCTCTCTATTTTTTGTTTTATTTATACAGAAGAAGCTATTTTCGCTGCAACATGGCTTGGTTATTTCAATGCCTGTCTTAATTCACTGGTATATTCATTATTAAATAATAATTTTCGTATGTCCTGTGCAAAACTATTATGTGCTTGGCATTACAATCGTGAAAGACGTCAACAATATGGATTAAATCAATTGAAACATTTCGGTGATACTCCTATTCAACTAGCACTTGGTCGTGTTCCATGGAATAAATTATGAATATTTTTGTACTGTAGTAGTATACGATCATGATGAAACATTTACTTATTATCTCGCATTATATAATTTCACTAGATTTATGTTTTAATAATAAACTGTCAATGAAAAAACTTATATCATGAATATATATTCATAAACATATACAACAGTATGAGTTCATATTTTGTTCTTTTTCTTCGTTACTGTACATATCAAACTCTTAAAAGCAATAATAGAAGTTCTTTTCATCGAACCAATGTTTTCTGTTTTCAAAAACTAGGTAATTTTTAACAGACGACTTTCAATGCTGCCATATTATCAAATGATTATTAAATGAAACGTTTACATAAATACAATAATTTTAATCTAGAGATCTAGAGGTTAAGTATTTACACGCAAGACTGAGGGTTTTGGATTCGCGTTCATTTTCATGTTTTCAAACGTTTGCTACGCATTTTTACGATATTTGAATTGTTTGTTAAAATCAGTTGATTAAACGATAATAGGCGATGTAATAACAAACTGTTTTTTAGATTTAGAAACTTATATCGATTCCAACTTCATTGATAATAGTGTTTTACTTTCAATAAGAATGTATCACAGAAATATGAGATAATATAATTGGATTACTTTAAATTAACGTAATTATATTAATTTGAACCGTGATTATAAAACGTCTTAATTATTATTCTGTATAAGAGGGGAATATCTTTATTTGGTTTGTTTTATTAACAGCTTAAAGTATAATTTATTATAAATACGCAACAAGTGGTTAAACGACCAGCTGTTGTGAATTTCTCAAATAGATTACTTAGTTACTTACTTACTTACTCCGATTAGCCCTCGTGGAGGTGCATAGGTCGCCAACCAACAATCTTTATCCAACTCTGTCCTGGGTAATCCTTTCTAGTTCCGTTTCAAACTTTTGACGTCTGCTTCCAATTCCCAACGTAGTGTATACTTTGGCCTTCCACTTTAACGTTTTCCTTCAGGATTTCAAGTTAGAATTTGCATCAAGATGCAGTTTGGTGATTTCCTCAATGTATATCCTATCTATTCCCAATGTCTTTTCTTGATTTCCTTCTCAACTGGAAGCTGGCTTGTCCTCTCAAACAGTAGGCTGTTGCTAATGGTATCCGGCCAATGGATGTTGAGTATCTTGTGTAGACAATTATTCATAAATACTTGTACCTTCTTGGCGATGGATGTGGTAGTTCTCCACGTTTCAACTCCGTATAGTAAAACTGTCTTGACGTTCGTATTAGGTATTTTGAATTCGATATTGGTTGAGAGTTGTTTTTAGTTTCATATAATATTTAGTTGTAGGAATGCTGTCCTTGCTTTGCCAATCCTCGCCTTTACGTCTACGCTGAATCCTCTTTGGTTGTCGATGATATTGTCTAGGTACTTAAACTTTCCACCTCTTCCAGCGTTTCTCCATCAAGTGTGATTATGTTGATGTTCAGCGTGTTGTATCTACAAATTTTCCTCTTTCTCTTGTATGTGTTCAGGCCTACAGATGCAAAAGCTTCCTTCTAGATAGATTTCTTAATGTATTTTTTTCAGTATATAAATATAATTTATTAAATTTTAATATAATTTGATCATTCTTTTACGTTATGAATGATTTATATCTTATGACTAATTATCTATTATCAAAAGGGTTTTGTGGAGATTGTAGTAATTTCAACAGTTGAGATCATGAGTCAATTGAAGCTAGACCACCATGAAAAACCTGGAAGCACTAGACGGCCCTTTCGTCCCAGTATGGGGCTCCTCAACAGCGCGCATCCACGTTCTCCCCCTCGAGGTGATAATAATCATCTGCTCACAAGTGACTGACTTAAGAGGCATTTCCTGGAGTTCTAGTAAGAAGCCTTTACCAGTGGAATTCAACCAAGTCTGTTGTGAGATATCAGCTCACTGAAGACAATGATGTACGGTGGCTCAATATCGTGTATTGGTTGAAGTTAGACATTAACACCGTTGGATGCCGGCTCAGTGGTCCAATAATTATCTATTATCAAATTAAGGATTAAAAGATGAAATTAGTTCAAAAGAAATAAGAGTCAGATCAAATGGAACTTCAATGATAGACTTTGTATTAATTAGATGTTCATTAAAACATTATTAACTTATAATATGTAATTGAATCTATTTTCAGAAGTATAACTTTATACAAATGTAGTAGTTCTCTTTTATAAGATATGGGTATTTTAATGTTACTTTGGTTAAACTGAGTTTATATATATATAGCAGATGGTTTATGAATAATTTCTTTATTTTGTTCTACAATATTTACTTTAGCATTGAATGCATCAAATATCTTAGTTATTTTAACACCTACGCAGAAGTTAGACTTAAAAAAATCGTGATTTAATCAAACAATAACTGGGTCAAATTTATGATCATAAAACAAATAAGAATATTTTTAAGCAGAGGTGAATAGTGGCTAGCAGTAAAATCCAGGACGCGCGTTTCGTCCTATTGGGAACTGGTCAGTTGGATGTACTTGCATCTCAGGGTTGATGTTCACTCCGGGACTCGAACCAGCTGACAGAAATCTCAAACTTATAATGATACACAGTACATTTAAATTCCTAATCAACTAGTTACAAATACAGTAAGCTTAAGATATAGGAGTAAAGATGTTCTCTTAAAAAAATTAATGAATAGTGGGTTAAAGTTGTAGTGAATGAGAACACACAAGTAGGTACAACCAAATGTATTTCAACACAAAATTACATAATCTCTTAGTAAAATCTGAGAACTATACATTAAATAATTCATTTGTAAAATGTCAATCAATCATCTCAAACTTGAATGTTCCTTCGTTTTCACACAAATCATTCTCTATTCTCATTCTTTTTTCTTCAATCTTCTTCACTTTCTACCACCAGACATTTCACTTTCGATTGATCATACATACTACTTATATCTGTCTACATCAGTAACACACAATATAGAATGATTTGTATTATACTATAAATATCTCAGTTATAAATCAATTTGGTTATAGACTTAACCAAGTAGTTGTTTATAATAAATAAGAAAAACAAAGGGTTTCTTACAAACCAGAAATTACTTAATTATGAATTAAATATATACCCTGATATGCAGGTACATCCATCTGACGAATCCCCAATAGGAAGAAACGCGCATCCTGGATTCAAATATATAACGAATTCATTCAACCACATCCATCTAACAACTAAAATATTGAGTTTTCAATAGTTTTTTCCTATTGAAATTTAATCCTGATCTGTAGTTTGATTTATGATATTTTGAATATTTGATCATGAAATGTTTTCCACATTTCATTTTGTTGATGTTTATGATAATACCTATTTGCTTAGTTGACATTTCAAAATAACAACAACAGAAAAAACCCAGAAACAATAAATTATAATCAGAAGGGGTTTTGTGGAGATTTTAGAAATTTCACTGGTTGAAATGATAAAGCTTGGAGAGAAAAAAGAAAAAAAAACAACTGTTATAGAATTTCAAATATTAGCAATAATATTCATTACACGAAGCAAGCCATATATATTGTTGACTAAACGCTCATTGAACTGAATTCCACTCCTAGCCACTATCCATCTCTGCTTAAAAAGCTTATGACTCAAGGCTGTATCAAGACAATTCGCATAGGGTGCGCATATGCCAACAGAAGACTGATCAATTACAGTCCTAAATAACAATGGGAAGATACAAGTAAAACAACACCTAGTGAATTTATATATTGCTATATTTGAAGCGATTACAAGTTCAGCTAACTTGAGAACGAAACAAAGATTCTGTGACACAATGACAGAAAGCCAACTATTCTAACGCGTCCCAGCCCGCTAACTAGAGAGAGAGCGAAAAGTTCAGGCTCGTAAATTGTAAATATATATGCCACAAACAGCCTAAAGTACGAGCAACCATGACAAGTCTAGTCGAAATACATTCATTTGTATATTGATTCATATACCCATTTTCGATTAATAAACAGAATAAAATCACATATATGAAAAATACAAATCATATGCTGAGTATAGTTCATGTTAACTTAATAAAAGAATATCGTATGTTATACAGAATAAAATATCAAAAGGGATTTTGTGGAGATTGTAGTAATTTCAAAAGTTGAAATCATGAGTCTATTGAAGCTAGACCACCATGAAAAAACTCGAATGAACTGGACGGCTGTTTCGTCCTCTTTTGAGACTCTTCAGCAGTGCACATCCGCGACTAAAAATATCATACGGAAAACAAAACAAATACTATACTGAATAATCATCACACATTCAATTAAAACGGAATTAATATTGAACAAAAATCATAATGAGTAAATCAATCTAATCTATGCCAGTAGTTACAAGGGTTTTGGATTTTTACATTTACTTCTACGGCATTTTTGGGACTAAGTTGTAACTGCAAACTTTTATTATCATTGTAAATAGAATCACTATAACCTGTTATACGTAAATGCCTTAATATGGTTCCAGTGTTTATTAAATTATTACAATGATGTATATCCTGATTGGTTTATAGAATTGACTGAGATGCTTACCGAATAAAGTTCAAAGAAAACACCAAGTTTCTGGAAATGATCTGATTTTACTTAAGTTTCCTCAATCACATTTTTATCTACATTATACTATACATTTTTCTATATCAATAGTTGAAATCATGAGTCAGTTGAAAGTAAACAACTATGGTAAACCTGGAAGCACTGGACGGCCGATTCGTCCTATTGCGGGACTCCTCAAGAGTACGCATCCACGACCTCGAGATTCGAACCCAGGACCCATCAGTATCGCGCGCGAGCGCTTAACCATTTAACCACTATATATCATGACTAATATTCTTGGTTATGAATAAACATGTAAAGTGTTTTATTTGAATGAAAATAAGTATTCTAGGAAAGACAGTTTACAATTGACTCTCATTAAACTACTCTCTATTTAAAAAGAGCTTTATTTTTCAAGTTTCTGGTCAAACATTTCAACTGTTTACTGACTATGGAATATCTTAAGAATTTTAAAAGGTGGTAATTCATCAGTTAATGGAGTGAAAGATAAGTTAATGTTAATATTATATCCTTCCATTATAAACACAGGATAACGTAAAGAGTAATGAAAAGGTATTAACATTTTGAATAAGTAATCTTATGAAATATTCAGTGACAACAATTATATTCTTTCCTTTGATATAGTTTAATATAAAAATAATGTCTGCGAGATTACTATCTATTAGTGTTATTCTCATA